GAAGAAGACGTAAGAAGATGCTGGATGACCTTGGGGACAGAAGAGGATACTGTCATTTGAAGGAGAAAGCTCTAGATCGCATTAAGTGGAGGAATTGTTTTGAAAGAGACTGTGGACCTGTCGTCTTGACAGATTACTGATGATGATGATTATTTTGGAATGTTGTATTTTAGCGTCCTGTTGCACTGATCTTCATCCATGATATGTAAGCAATGTCCGTCTTTTGGTGCACTCAATTTTACTTGTTACTTCACATGTTTCGGCAGTACAGTGCCATCATCAGGTGCGCTATTTACGTCAATCTATTTCATTGCTTGCCATTACGTCATTGTAAAATTTAAAAATGTTCGTCAATTATAATAAATATATATACTAAGAACTTGTTAAGATTATTTATCTTATCTGTCCCAATTCTAACACCACGCATAGTTTCACCACTATGGGAGTCATTCCTCTTATTCTCAGGGTATATCTGCAATATGAAAAAGTACTTACTATTATTACTTTTGGCTTCTATTTGTTATGTGTTGTATTATAATTATTTTGGAAGTTTATGATATACAGAGATTACATATCAGTGTTCTTAAACATCGTCTCATCTGGTCTCAGTTATGGGTCCAGTTGTCACCAGTGATAGGGGCTCTGCTATCTGTAGAGCATGTAATGGTCCCTCCTGTTGGGTGTCTTGGAGGGTCATGAATTCTGCTCTTTTGCTATTGTGAAAATATAGTTAAAATGTCCCAGGGTCTCTGATGATGAGATTAAAAGAGGGCTTCTGATGTGAGTGAGCAATCTGACTTTGAAGAAAAACTGGATAAGTCGGCTGGCAAGGTGGGCTAGGTTGGTTTTCTGGTCACGACTGCTGGGGATGGAGCAGGTGCTCAGTTACAGGTCTACCTGGTACTTGATGGGAGCTTTGCTGTCTTTCCAGCAAGACAGGGGCAACTGGAGGATCCACCTCAAGAGTGCTGGGTTCGGAGGTTATGTTGTGGTCAGCTGAGGGCAAGACTTAAAAGAGTGGTGAATAACCTGGTTATGAAGATGATGCCAGGTTAGCAGATGAAGTGGCAGGAAGCACCAATATTGGATTCTGGGGCCTCAGCTGGTGCTTGATTATGGATCAAAGTGGGATCAGTTGAGGTCTCTTTTGCCTCTGGTGTGGGTATTGATGAAAGCTAGTGGGTACCTGCTACCAGTGCTCCAAGCAGTGCATTGGGACTAACCCCATCAACTGTGCCCAATTGAGTAGGCTTTAACTGAGGGCAAAGGCGGTGTCCCAGTCTTTGAAATGTTGTTTTAAATAATAATAATAATAAACCAGGAGTCAATAATTGTATTAATATTCCATTGTCATGAACTTTCAGATTTTATCAAAGGGTACAGCGCTACCATAAACAGCCTAGACTCCTATACACAGTTAATCCACGAATGATGAACTAAGTATGCAACAGTTAGAAGGTGATATGTTCTGTTGGTGGTATGACAGGGGTTTCTTCAGCATACTTCATGGTGGAAACATGTGGCTAGTTAATCATGGTTCATAGTTTGTCATTAATCTTACCCATGGGCTTTGTGTTTAAGACCAAGTTGTTTTAAAACGTACTACATTCCCCTTGCACACATTTACTCCCTGTTTTGTGTGTGACATTTCTGCCATAAACCCTAGGTGTGTTACCCATATTCTAACTCCAGCCCAAGTCTTGTCCGTCTTTCCTTCACCAGTAGTTAATCTTATGACCTTGGAGCTGGAAGTAGGAGTTGTACAAATTGAGTCCTGAATTCTTTACCTAGGAATGTCTCATTTTCCTATTATGAACACCAGTGGAAGTAGGGTATCCCTTTCAGATAGGTTGTTTTAATTTCTCAATAGCTGAATTTTTTAAAAGTACATCATGACTACACAGGGTCGTGAAGAGGACGATCTTGAATTGGCTACAGCAAGAAATTGAAGATCACATGTACATTTATTATTATCATCACCATCATGTTATGTACGGAGGCAGGAATTGGTTTGGAATTAATTCATTATTGCTTTGAAATCGGACAGGTAAAAAATATGTATTGAAAATGAACTGATCTAAGACCGATAGTGTAACTTCTGGTGCCACATGACGCGGCACTGCTCCAAACTAGTGCTGACAGCATAGACATGTGTTGAACACACAAGAAACACATCCAAATACCCTGTTTATTGCACAAAACATGTGAAAACCCAAAAGCACACGTGATATGCCAGGGAGATTGTAAGATGCTGTCCCACTGTTTTTTGAGCACATACACTGGTTACAATATGGTATGTGATGAGCAGCTGTTGGCGTATGGCCTCCCATTCTTGCACCAGTGCCCAGCGGAGCTCCTGAATAGTCGTAGGAGGTTGAAGATGTGCACAGACACGTCGACCAAGAGCATCCCAGGCGTGTTTGATGGGGTTCAGGTCAGGGAAATAGGCAGGCCACTCCATTCGCCTGATGTCTTCTGTTTCACAGTTCTCCTCCATGAAAGCAGCTCGGTTTGGCCCCCTGAAAAGGGGAATGTAGTCTTGCAGAATGACATCCCAGTACACCTGACCTGTTACAGTTCCTTTGTCGAAGACATGCAGAGGTGTACGTGAACCCATGATAATGCTGCCCCACAACATAGCACCACCACCTCCATACTGGTCCCTTTCAAGGATGTTAGTGAGTAGGTATCTGGTTCCTGGTTCACGCCAGATCATTACACGACGAAAATCACTGTTGAGACTATACCTGTACTCGTCGTGAAGAGAACCTGGGACCACTGTGGCATTGTCCATGTACTCTGTTCTCAACACCAGGTGTTACGGACTCCTCTCTGGGCACTGGTCAGTGGAATGCAAATTGCAGGCCTCCGGCCGAATAAACCGTGTCCGTTGAGTCGTCTGTACAGTGTGTCTGGGAAAAAACTGTTCCAGTGGCAGCGGCAAGGTCCCGATCAAGGCCCCCTCTAGTACTCCGTCGGCGTCTTCTCGTGGTCTTTCACACTGTGGACGTCCGATACTGCAGCACCGGGAGACGTTTCCTGTTAATCGCCCTATTATCCTGCCCCTCATTACATCATCAAAATGTGTAGAACCAACAAAGAATTGTCGATTCAGATCTTCTCGCAGGCCTTCGTTAATCACTGTTGCGTATAACTTGCATTCTCCAATGCTTGGTAGTTGGGGCTTTGAAATTGCTTTTATACTATTTATATCTTCTGCTGGTACAACCTACATATGCAATTACATTGAATTTTTCCAGACTTAAAATCACGTGATTAACACGGTACTTTCCGGTACTTTCATTTTGCTGATGTTGCTTAATCTGCTTCCTCCAGTTATGTGAACTGTAGATTGCAGCACTATCGTCAAGATCGTCATCGTCGGTCATCGTCGGTGAAACAGTACAGGATTTTATCACTAGGAGCATGTAAATAGAACTTATTTTGGACTATGGATGTTAATATTGTTACGCTGAAAGATAGTGATAATATTTTAATCTTGAACGCCGAAATATTGATTTTCAGTTACATTGAGGTAGCTATAAATGCAAGAATTTGTTTATAGAAATATAATTACTGCACTGTACAGCCGTTTTTTGCCTCTGTGATATTGGCACATCTAATCGATTACGTCATCCGTGTCGTGTATCCTTACGCGGGACTACCTGCCATCATTGAGTAGTCTTGTGGTTTCAAGTTAAAAGTTAGTTAAAGTGAAGTATTTATTTAATTATTTACAAATTGTGAACTGAGTGTACACAGAACTATAGCGAGAGTGTCAGCAAGTCGTTTATAACCACGGTGGTTATTTCGTTTGTCTCTTTCTTTGGTCGGTTATAATAAAATTTGCCAAAATTCCGGTCCCTACAAGAAAACGAGAAGGTGCCTATCCCGGCAGGAACGAGGAGGGCAAGATGAATAACAAGCGGAAAAGTCGCTCAAATACAACAAGGTTAGCATATAATAATAATTAATTTATATATGGACAGGTAGTCATCATGTACATCTTTTTCCATCAGACCATCCGTATGAAAACATTGTAAGGGACACTGACCTCCATAAGCAAGCGTATCAGCTGAGTATTCGTTGTGCATTGTGTACTCCAAGGAAGTTAACTGCAATCATTTGCTTATACTGTATAGTACTATTAAGAAATATAATTGTATGTTGCTTATATGTATTTTCATAAGGCGTGGTTCGTTTTCTTTTTTGTTAGGTCATCACGCACCCGACCTGATAGAAGTGTAACTGCTGATGGCATCTACCAAAATGCACACTTCATGCATGCAATTACTAGTCACGTAGGAAATACCGTTCAGGTAAACTGCAACATTCAGTATATATCACGCTCGAAGCTGATTATGATTCCATCACTTTGAACACCTGTTCGCATGACAAGTATGTGAATGCCACATTGACTAGAAAACTGGCATAATGTTTGTAGATATACTGTATATAAAGCAGCTTTGAGGTTTCATCGTCGTCATATGGTGACCTGATCAATACACTGTCCTTGGAGGTTATTAGATTCAGCATACAATATGAACCAGAATCACCATGCCAAAAGATCTCATTGCTTACACAGGACTTAATTTTTTCATATGGTTGTCTACTAATTACGTGAAATATCCTCAGAGATGTTGTAGATAGGCCATGCTTCAGTGTCATCACTAGTATCTTGATATTGGCTGCAGTTGTGTGTGCCCATGTCAATATTTTCATTTGCCTTTGTTTCTAACTGGTTCTTAATAAGAGGTGATGACCAGGAATTATGGATTAAGTATGCAATTGTATATTCTCGGAATTTTTTCGTACCAGTTCCCACTCTAAAGAAAATTGTGATCTTTTGCTACAGTGTCTTAGCCAAAGAAAACTATCTGGTCCTGCCATACCAAACTATTGTATATAACAGCTGCACATTCCTCATAGAATCATGCTCTTGAAGACATATCACTTAAAAGTAGCCAAAGAAAATTCTATCCAGGCATGCTGTACCAAACTAGTGTACATAACAGCTTCACATTCATTATATAATTGCAGTTTTGAAGATGTAATATCACTTAAAAGGCTGTCCTAACTTAGTAGAAGCAGATTCGGATATAATGATGTGTTCATATTCATTCGTTTTTTTTTTTATTTGTTCATAAGATAGGATAAGATAGGATAGTCTCTTTCCAAAAACAGAAGATCGCATTAAGTGGAGGAACTGTTTTGAAAGAGATTGTGGACCTGTCGTCTGACAGATTACTGATGAATGAATGAATGAAGATCTACATTTGGCGATATTGCCTGAGATGTAGAACACGTCCATATAGTTTAAATGTCCATAAGGATAGTGTTATAACAGAATACAGAAAGTACAAATATACAAATGTAAGTTTAAAAACATCCAGAGAACCATGTTATAACAGAAAACCTCATATACATAATAACAATTTACCATCATAACAGTAATTATAAACACGCAAAACACATGATAATGCCACCTATTTAACTTAAATTTCATCAATACAATTTAAGGTATCTAAAATATCTTTGAGGACAAGGTCCCATAATATACAAATGACTTATAGTACTAATAGATACAAAATAAAACATTTATTTTATTCACAATTCATTAAAATTCATACTGGAACTTCCAGATTCAGTCATATTGCAATTACGATTTAAATCTTGTATCTTAAAAATATAATATAATATTACATTTAATCCTTATAGTTAAGGTATTCGTCCATGATATAAAATGAGTGAAGAAATTAAAAAAATTTTAATACCAATTTAAATTGTTCAGCATTTTGAGATATCTCCTTTATTGTGGCTGGTAAGCCATTAAACACCTTTATTCCCGCATAATAGGCCCCCTTCAGTTGAGATAGCGGTTGATGTAAATCATGTTTTGCCCAAGTTTTAACATTGTGAATGGCAGAGTTTGTTTCAAAATAATGTCTATTATTGATCACAAATAAAGAGAGTGAATAAATATATTGTGATTTTAGTGTTAATATGTAACTTTGAGGAACAGTATAAAAAATTCAAATACATTTTGACAATTTGAAAGGGGATGTGGAGTTATTGATATACCTAGCATTGCAAATATACACCTTAAGAGATTCACCTTTGTGTGGTGAATGTTCATATAATCATTACTGAAAAGATCTTAGTTTTTCAGAGTAGTGAAAATTTGTATTGTGGTTTTGAGGACAGATGATGTAGTATGTCCCTAGGAATTTTTATACCCACTTTTATATCTATATGGTGCAATAACCCAGAAGACCACAACATGAATCTTGAACAGTGAATTGTTTTTCTTTCATAGTAGATAATTGGTGTTCTCAATGGATAACGTTAAGTTAGTTGACAGTAGTGCCGCGCCATAGCTCAAGCGGTTAGTCGCTGGCTTCCCACGGCGGCTCTGGTCAAGTGGGATTTTTGGTGGACAAAGGGGTGCTGGGGCAGGTTTTCTCCAAGTACTTCGGTTTCCCCTGCCAATCTACATTCCACCAATTGCTCCAGAATCATCCTCACCTGTCATCTGGGGCTGGTACAATAGGCCAGAAGTAGCCACAATACAAGGGACTTAGTCCCACCCCACTAGCAATAAAAAACTAGTTGATGGTAGCCATTTATGCTTAATTCCAAAATATAACTATATAGTATGCATTGGTGCTCCTGTATGACTTAGTGCTCTAGGTTGGCACTGGGATATCAGATTGTAACAGTCACCCTTCATAGTACCAAACCAGAAGGCAGAATGATGCAGTTTCAGGTGTATGGATTGTAAAATAATTTTAAGAGGAGCTCTCATATAAAAGTAAATGTACTTTGTCTGACAAAATAAAAGAGTGCCAACCAGAAGGGAAACTTGGCAGTTGTACTGTATACTGTGTATATTTTCAAAATGTTGACATGTTTTGAAGTTGTCACAGTTACTAAACACCCAAGAAGGTTGTCTTTAGACCCTGCTGCAAATTCTTCAGCTTCAGAGATGGTAGGGACATGCACTACTTGCATCATCTCACACTGCATGTGAATAGAACATGACATAGTTGACAGGTCATCTGATATCAGTCCATTAAATCTTTGAACATCTACTGTGATTTGTGCTTATATGTTATGTGTGTGTCACCTCTAATTCCTTGTCCCTGCTACTGCATTGGACATACCGTCATTTGCATTGTTTCTTATATCAAAGTGCCAAGCGAGTGTTACACATTGAAACAAGTGTTCTTGTACAGTTTCCATGCAAACACCAAGGAAAAGATTCTGGAATGAATTTCAGATGATAACAGATCAGATAGAGAAAATTATTCATTGTATTGTAGATATATTTTCATAGACAGGGTCATTATTATACAAAGAAGACTAAAGGCAAAATTCTTCCTGGAGAAACTGGATGAAATCAGTGGTTCCCTGAAATATCCATTAAAGCTCAGTACAGGAGATCAGGATTTATAATTTCAGGTTTGCTCTGTTTCTGGAAAGAAAATTAAGTGCATGAATGCAAACTTTTTATGGTTGTAAAAGGAATGCATTCATAACAAGGACCATTTCCAGCATGTGCTATGATCTGGGTGGATTGTGTTTATGATTTGTTGGTATTTGTGGGCTTGTCAGTTGTGGTACAGGTTCTGAAATATTTTATGCAAGGAATGGGTGTTTCTTCCACTGGGATGTGTGAGCAATTTGTGACAGACATAATTGTCATGTACCTTCTTGTCGACTTCCAGTGACTTTGGTGATTCTAGTCGGTGGATGAATGTATAGTTTGATGGCAATGGGTTGGCATGGGATGTGTTTTAATTCCGATATTCTACGTTAAATTAGCATATTTGCCACAAGCCTGTGGCAGCTGAAATTTTGATTTAATGAAAGTTTATGTTCTTGGGCTGCTCCATAAATCAGGGTGCATTGTTGCCAGTTAGTGACAGACCATTCTATCATCATTAGAAGGTTTCTCTTTTACCACATCTTGTAATTGTATGCCAGTGAGAAATTATAATGTACTGGGTTATTGTTTTTCTTGTGAGAAGGCAGTGAGTATGTGTGTCTGATGGAAGTGAACTCATGAGTACAGTATTATGAAATGATGTTAAAGTACCTTATTACTTATATTTTATGTTTGTCTTACTATTATTTTGGTTTATATATGATACTTTTCTCATATGTCTTAACTCCATTTTGCAGTGCTGGCCCATTGTCATATCTTTTAAAACTGCAGTTTTGTAAAGACACACAAGTTTCTGCAAACCTATAAATTCTGCCAATCCCCCCCCCCATATCAGTTCAGTTTGTTTTATATTTTTGTTAACAATTTACATGACATGAATTTTTAATGCCCTCCTAGTAATGTCTTTATTATTAGCATTTATTCACCAATTGCAAAAAATACATTGAGCTTATTTATTCTGCTCAGCCATTATTGTCTAATGAATTTTATGTCACATGTATGAGTGACTGTAGACAGGGTTTGGATTGGTGATTGGGTTTATTGAACACTTATAAACACACCCTATAACTACAAGTAACTATGACAGCCTCATTGATTTACGCACCTAAACTTTATCTTGCTTATAACCCCTTGCCAGAGACCGTGTAGAAAATACCGCTTTCCAGCGAGTCCATTGGCATGCTGGCTGCTTCCTAGCAGTGGCTTTTGTCTCATTTGTTTCGCAGTTGTTACATGGCAGTGGGTCTATACACCACAATAATAAGGATTAATCTGCAAACTTGTTAACTGAAAGAAACATAAAATTTGTTCCAAAAACAAATCTGTTCTGTCTTCCATTGTGCACAATAATGTACTTTGTGTTTGTTGATGATCTTGTCTTCCTAGGGGACTGGCAAGTGCAATCACTCCACATTTTTATATTGCCTCCATTGATGAATGCCCAGGTTTCATTCAAGAACAGTACCTGGTGCAGCATTTCTAAGTTCAAGTTTCCAGAAGACTTCCTGAGGAATATAGTATTGTTGCCAGTGATGTGGGCCTACTCAGCAAGTTGTTTCTTCTGAAATAATTAGAATTTTAGACACTAACATTTCTGTAATTATCATTAACTATATAGCTTTATTATTTTCACATTAACTGTTCCTCCAACATATGATCATATCTCAACAGGGCACTACAGATACTTAAGTTAAACAGAAAGTTTCTATCAGCACTCACCTCTTGTCATATATCTCAAAGCTGAAGCCCATAACACAAGTTTCAGCATTTCTTTCCCACCTTGGAGATCTCTATGGTCATCCTTAATGTCTCCCAGAATGCTCTTCATAATCACTGTAGTAAATATAGTATGTAAAATATTAAGTGGTTTTA